TGTGTGTGTGTGTGTGTGTGTCTGCCTGTCCGGGTATTTCAACTCGGCACCCAAGCATGTTCCGGCGCCATGATTTTGCGGATGGGTTCCCCGGCCAAGTGCCACTCCGGGACCGTGGTATCAACTTTCATGCACGTCCAGACCCCGCGTGTGAGCACGTGAAAGTTTTGCAACATACCTCAAAATTTCAGCTTTCTACCAGAAAAGGTAGAAAGCTGAAATTTTGAGGTATGTTGCCCTTCCACACAGAACTCAAAAATTTCAAATTTTTTTTTTCAATGCGCGGTTCCTGCGTACGGTCTTGTGAGGGTTCCTGGCGGGAAAATCGCTAATTTGGGGTCCAGCGCAGCTGGGAGGTGAAATTTTAAAGGGATGTTCAAATCTTATGTACAACTTAAAATTATCAAATTTAGCCTATCGTTGTGCGTGAATCTCATGTACAGCCCCGTGAAAGTTTTTGGCAGAAAGATGGCTAACTCCGGAACCAGGAAAGTTGGGAGCGAGGGGATAGGAATTTTTAGGGAATGTTCTTTGTCCATGTATAACGTAGATCGCTAATTTCCCGAAATTCTAGGACCAGTATGTCACTGGGTTTCCGACGATCTCATTACAGCACAAAACACTGCAAAAACGCATGATCACATATGCTCGCCCGGTGGGCATCGCCAATGATTTTGTACAGAGCAGCAGAGGATTCAGGATTCGTCCAGGCCCTCTATCACATTAAGTTTGAAAACTGTTGCTTATTGCTGAGATTTTTAAGCTGACCCGTGCAAACTGCCGAAAAGAAAAGCGAACTGTAGGCGATCCCCTTGCGGTTGATAACAGAACTAATTTTTGCCTCTAATTTTTGTAGTCATTAGTAACGGTCTTCATTAAGGTAAAGCATACAATGAAAGCTTACCTCGCCTTATTACCTTCGTCCATTAAGTCACAAATGTCTTGATATGAACACACTGCCAATTTGGTAAGATCATCAACATACGGACCAAGAAGGGGATGTTCGCGTACACGAAGATTTCCGCCGGTTGATGGATTCAACAAATCCCTGACCCTTTCACAGTAGATTTCCATATATGATACCTGAGTGTACAGTCGTTGTTTTCTAAGCGGCATGCATTCTGTTAAAAAAGAATATTGCTTAACTGAAAGTATATGTCAGCAAACCTCCACAGAAAATTTGAGATTTGGGTCTGCATTTTCGTGAATCCTTTGGAAGAGGTGATTGCACAAGCGCGGAATGATTCCCATTTCTGCTTCATCGTTCGGTTTACCCATCATTGTATAGCTTTTTCCGCTACCCGTTTGCCCATATGCAAATATGCACACGTTGTATCTAGAAATACCGATTCGTACTGTAAATATGAGTTGCTAATTTTAAATATTAAATTTTAATCTCTGACTGCTTTCTCAGTTTTTCAATTTATGATCAAAATTACCACCATATCTACGTTATACCACCGTTAATGACCTTTTGTAAGAGTGAAGCGTCTAGACATA